AGCCTGTAAACTTTGGATCAATAATGTGCCAAAGTCAGAAATCTGTGCTTACTCGGACGGAGCATCGGAGGGAAAGGGACGCTCAGCTTGGGGGTATGTCCTAAAGCTGGATGGGAAAACCTTTCAAAAAGGAAGTGGCATAAAGCACGGTGGAGAGGCTTTAGATGCAGAGATTAAGGGGGCACAGGAAGCTCTTGAAGCAGCGTTGGGTCACCTAAGAGGAGAGGAGTACCTGGCGAAGGGAACGACGCAGTGCATTAATGTGTTGATGGATAGTCGACATGCGATAAATGCACTGAGCACGGGCAGGTCCTCGACCAGCCACAAGGAAGTACGAAAGTTTCGCGAATTGTCTGGGCTAGCTCAGGTAAGAATAACGTGGGTAGCAGGACACTCGGGGATACATGGAAACGAGGAAGCAGATGCAGCGGCCAAATCCGCCCTACGAACGCTTCCCAGCGTGGAAACTGAGCCAGCAACCACCACGACAGCATTTTTACACCAAAAATTGCATCGACAGCGACAGACTTTGCTCGACAGCTGGTGGAATGAAACTTGCCCGTCACGGTATCGTGAGCTAGATCTGCTCATGCGCCGTCGTAAACCACCAGAACTGGGGCTTTCTAGGCTACAATTACGACATCTCATTGCAGCCCGTACGGGCCACGGCAATTTCGCGGCGTACCATCGTCGCTTCAACAATCCGCACGCTATTACAGAGTGCATCTGTGGGGAGGAAACCACCCCTACCCACTTCATACATTGTCGACTCAACGCAAATATCACGCGTCGAATCAGAGGGTCATTGTCACACAGTGCCTTCCTACACAAGCTACTCGTGCCTAAGTGCTTCGAGAGCTTCAAACAATTTGCGCAGGATACCAATTGTTTTGAGTATTCTCCTGTGCATCCATCTCCTACTCTCAGTGGAGATCGAATATAACTCGTCAGGAAACTAAGCCTGACAAAATGGGAATCGAGGCGAAGAGTATTGCTTCCCACTCTAACTTATTTGCAATTTATCTTTTTCTTTTGTCAATTTTGGGAAAAGGAGTTCGCGTCGGCGCATATTTTTAACTTACTGCTGGTTTTGTGGTGGTTCATGCGGTGGAATCAAGCTGGGTATGTCTTAGATGTAGTTCTGGCTGTGAACATCGGTCCTGTACTCATAGTGGATTTGGAGCTTTAGCTTAGGACTTGAATAAATCAACAACAACAACACACTCTCAATCAATACAAGTAAATTTAGCGCGCGCAAAATACTGGTGATTCGACCAAGGGTAAATTATGTAAGCAGATAAGCGACCATATTTTGTAAAGAATTTTTTTATTTTAGTCCCTACTAAGTCTAAGACTATGGGGGTCATGTTTTCTATAAAACACATGATAATAGATAAATAAGAATAACGCTTGACTGATTTTTAATTTCGATACCATAATCTAGTATTCAAGTCCCGATTGATACGTACCAACACTAACCACAATCAAATTAGATACTGGGGTTGAAGCCCTTCTCATCATCAACCCTTGATCTTGGAGGAAAAGTTATCCGATGAGTTTCCTGAGCGTACTTAGCACCAGATACAGAAATGTTAGATTGGGTCAATATGACCTCTAATATCACAAAGAAGGAAGATACAGATGATTACAGGCACGTATGTGTTTCTAGTGTCGAGGCCTTGCCTAGATGGGCCTGTAGGATTTTTGAAGACATCTTGCCGCACACGCAGTTTCCATTGTGTCTGGATCACTCTGATTGGTCCGAAGTGTAGGCCTTCACGTACGGGCGTTGATTGCACTAGGGCCTCGGAACCTACATAGGATACCTCTCTGTAGATAGCTTAGATAGAGAATAAAGAACAAAGTGACCAACCATTACCTATCTGCTACCTATTTTTTTGGGTAGAAGGTTCGGTGGAAAATGTAGCTGAATTCCATGGGTGTATACTGAGCTGAATGGCTATTCATCACGGGCAGTATATCAATGATCTTTTAAGTAACAAAAGAGGCAAGGAGCACAGTACGAAGTGTGGCCTGGGTCGGAAATGGGCCCAATGTGTCATTTAGGCATGAGCTCCGGTAACATAATAAATCCACGCACTTTACTACACCAAAAAAATATAACTTGTAGCACGTTTTGTAAGTATTGATTTACGCTCGGGTACTTGAATTTGAGTAATTTAAGCCATGAATCGTCTTGGTGTCTCTTTCCGAAGCCAAATATAAGGGGATCTGGCTGAGTCGTTATCAAAGGGTTAGAGAATTCAGAAACACTTGAAAGTCGATAACTGAATGAGAATTGATAAACTTTCCTTTGAAAGCTAATCCACTTGTCGACTCCTATCCTTTGTGTCTTCTGCGTAGACTAATATTTACTCCTCACCCTGGCCACTAGAGAATCATCCTTCCTCCTCGACTCTCTTCTTTTCCTGCACCACAACCCCCATCTGGTACATTCCCCCTTAATACCTCCTTAAGTGCACCATTCGTATTTTCGGGAGCGCTGCTCTGTCACGGCTTAACTTCTTTGATAGTGGGGTCCTGGTGAACAGTCCCAATGCAGGCAAAGCCAATCACAGTCGTGTATCAATATAGTGTTAGATGGGAACTCAATTGTGATCCAGACTTGAGAATTGGAATATTATGAAACTATGGTAGTAATTCATTCATCCCTGATCTCTCACTTGTTATTTGGGATTACTACTATTGCAACTCTACCTGTGTAGGCTTCGAGCCCTTGAAATTCTAGATTTGCCTGGCAACACCTTGAAAATCTTCGCATTCAATTTACTCTAGTCTTACGTGTGCCGTAATCGTATTCAAAACAATAGTTTGTGTCGATTGGCCTTAATGCACGTACACGTAGGTTTAGTTTGGTTTGTTCATTTACGTGCCAGGGGAAGTGACTACCGTTGCGCTCCAACTGGAGCTTAAGCACGGGTGGAGCCGGGCCGGATCAGGTTAACTACCATTGAGTACATCTACCTCGTTCCACCTGAATGACTGGACCACCTCAGACTTCACCCATGTGTTGAATAATGTCAAGCCCAACCATCCAGAGGACCCCCTTTTGCCACGCCGAAGCGCAAATTCCTCCTTAGCCTCGGCCACCACGCGTCAGAGCCCGTGACACCTTCGCCATCTGTAACTTTTCCCTTCGATTCATTCCCAGCTTTAACGCTCCTCAGCATCCCTCTGTCCTTCAGCCGATCTCGTCGTCCCAGAAACTTTTTTGAATGTCCAACCCTCCGGCCTTGCCCCATCGCTGCCATAACCCTAACCGTGGAGGTCGAAAATGTGACTGAGAGCTCAAGACAGAGGCACCGGTGTCCCAGCCTTTTCGAACGCTCTGGTTGGTGTGCTGGCGAAATGTCGTACATATTTCGTCGGTGGCGATTCGTCGCAGGTCGAGTTATTGGTGCCCTCAGCCGAGGTGAGGACGTATTTAAGGCCGGTATTTCGACCGTACCTGTCAAACATGGAATCGTATGAATGGTATGGCATTGGTCAAACTACGTCGTTTGATGAGTCGTAGCGCATCAATGAGAGCTGTAATGGGTTTGGGTATTTCCTCGGGTGTTTGAAGGGCAGTCTCAAGCAGAACCACGATGTTTCTAGAAAGTATCAGTCCTGATACACTGTGGGAGGACGCTCACGCACTTCATCATCACACGTAGATATTCTCAGTAGGCATGTGTATATACAGTAGTGTTTCTTTAGACTAGGACAGACAGAATATTACCAATAGACTTTACTTTACATTTTCAATTGACCCTGAGGGTCTAACAGTACCTTCACAGCGACTGGCAGTTGCGGAGGGTGGGACATCATCTTGCTTCTTTGATGGCGATTTGACTTTTGGAGGTATGGGATTGCTTCGGTAGGTGGTGAGATAATGGTTGGGAGGGCCGCGAGATGAGTAAGGCTAGATATGATTTTCCAGAGAAACAGAATAATAAGATCTTGAAGGTGTCGGTTGTTGTGATACGAACGTCAGACAGGTTATAGCCTGTCTGCGGCTCGCGTCTGGGGTGTAGATGGTTGATTCCGTTGAGTTGTGCAGTCGTGAAATTCCTGCAAGTCGGATTTTCGACCAAAAATGAGCCAACACCACTCCTCCCGATCGCCAACTCGACGAAAACTCTCAAATCCACGTTTTGTCGTGACTGAATCTCGGCTCTGGGAGAATATTTCGCTCCCAGGTTCGTAGAGAGCACCACTGGCAGGTGTTCAGCCTTCGTCCTCCGAATCAGAGGCTTCGATGGTTAGGCAGTCAAGAGTGACGTTGAAAATGTGTTTCTCTGAGCGATTGTCAGAATATGATGATTGGGCCATACTTCATGGCGAGCGGGGTAATGAGGAGACAGTCTAAACTATTGCGAGCTAGCCCAACTGCGCCTACAGGGCTAATCCCTTAAACATCCCAGTTTGAAGCTTAACATTTTGGAACCTAGAGGCACTGTGTGCTAATAATGCCAGGATCATCCATACCACTTCGTCTCCTTACACGCCGGAACAAAGTCTTAGCTCTCAATCCCTGACAAATAAAATCTCACTTTGAACACCGTATAATTTTTAAATATTGGAGACAATGACCCAACCTTTCCCCGCACGTAGTAGCTAGCCAGAGCGAATAACACGCTCTAGTGGTACTTGCAAATGAAATCTGAGGCACGAGTGCTCTTCCTTTACGTTGAATCATCTATTCTGTACTTTTCTTTGATATTGTGTCATAGCTAGATAGCTGCATACGCAATTAAAATCTGATGCAAAAAAAATAGCTAGCCAGAGCGAATAATACGCTCGTGCTCTTCCGTGCTTCCGGCTGACAGATGACGACTCTCAACGCACCGACATGAAACAAAACCAGAGTAGACAATGCAGCGAGAGGTTAGCTGATCAACGAATCTACTTGCTTCCAGTTATCCCCTTTGTTGCTCGATAACCTACCACCGAAAATAAATGGCCTAGCCAGATATGAGAACGTAAAAGTCACTGCAATGATATTCAACCCCAGCAGATTGATTCTTATTCAGCCTCTGAATTTCAGGGGATGGAGGTCTTCGTCTTCGTCTCGGCCGAAGCAATACGGTTTCATTGGCCTAGGGCAAATGGGTGAGCAATAGCTCAATGTGAACCGTACACCATTTTCCCTCATCTTATTCTTCTTTTAGGATATAACATGGCCAAGACCCTCCAATCCAGGCTTCCAGCTTCAGAAAGTCTCAGGGTTTTTGATATAAATATTGCTACTACGCAACAGCTTAAAAAAGAATGCGAAGTGATGGGTGGCGCTATGGTGACAATAGCTACCAATGCTCGCGATGCTGCTGAGAATTCTGTAAGTGTCGAACCTCTGCCTATTGACTCTGACCCACATCCATTTGAATGAGGAGCGTTACATATCACTGTCCTTGGATCCCTATTGTTTGGAACGCGAGATTTTATTCCCTCTGTTTATTGAAGAATATGCAACTTCAATTCTCTTAAATAACACTATCTGACGGCCAACGGAAAGGAAATAACTATTACGGTTCTTCCCGAATGCACACATGTGAAGAGCGTCTTCAACCAAGTGCTTTGTCCGTTATTATCTACAGATATCGTGTCAAATAAAGATCGTCTCTTTATCGATTGCTCAACCATTGCTCCCACTTCTTCCAGAGAAATAGCAGATTTAGTTCGAGCGACCCATCATAGTCAATTCGTTGACGCCCCAATGTCAGGTGGTGTAGTGGGAGCAAATTCAGGTACACTGACCTTTATGCTTGGGTCTCCGGACCATTTAGTGTCACGGGTTGAGAGAGTCCTCCTCATGATGGGAAAGAAGGTATTTCACTGTGGTCCACAGGGCCTAGGATTGGCCGGGAAACTTGCAAATAACTATTTACTCGCCATTAATAATATTGCAACGGCAGAGGCCATGAACCTTGGTATCAGATGGGGACTTGACCCTAAACTACTAAGCAGCTTGATAAATACTAGCACTGGGAAGTGTTGGTCTAGTGAGATGAACAATCCCGTAAGTGGAGTGGATATCAATTCTCCAGCAAGTAGAGATTATGCAGGTGGTTTTGGCATCAGCCTCATGATAAAAGACCTGAACCTAGCAATTAATGGTGCGCGGGAAGCTAATGCAAGCCTAGAGCTAGGAGATAGAGCACAGGAGGTTTATGATGCAGCTAACAGGCAGGACAATTGTAAGGGAAAGGATTTTTCAGTCATCTATAGATACTTGAGTGGACCTGGATTGAACAGATAGAGCGAAGAGAAATGCCGACTTGGTGATGTCAATATAATCGCCAAATTGTTTACTTCATTGGGTGCCATACGGCTCGGCTATGAGTTTCTCGGAAGGACTAATTATAACCTTGATGATGACCGTAATTATTTGCTTTCTTGCTTAATATCCGGCACGTCTATTTATCTTTACACGTCAAGCCGCTAGAGATGATATGATAGAGATAATTAACACTGGTTTTATAGTCCTATCTTGCCTTTCAGTTACCATGAAACGGTGAGCCTCAAAGGTTAGATAATACCGAGACTTCAACATTTAGAAGTCCTTAAGCTTCGAGGATGCTCGAAGTAATCACGACTTTGTCGATATGTATCCGTCCAATTTGGGTAATTTATCTTGTGTAGGCTGAGAGGATAGAGCTATATATATATATATATATATATATCTTACTTCATATGTGTTAATATATTGAAGTCTAATAATGGTCGTGCTCACATTTCGACTTGCTGAACTAGCAAGTGTCATGATTTATCAGCTAGAGCCCTGAATAAATGATTCAAGATACTGTACAATAGCTACCTTTAAGAAAGGGCTTGACGACATGAATGTGATCCGAAGAGGATACAGGTGCTCCCAAACTTCATGCGTAGACCCGCGAACTTTAATGTAAATGTTTCAGATCTTCAACCATACCACGGATGCCTTCGACGGAAGAGCCCAAGCCGCGACAGATATCGGCCTGTATACTTTTATCAACTTCGAGAAAGCGCTCAATCAACTCGCCGTCAACGAAGCGGAAGGGTTCTAGGGTCTCACGATCAAGATTCCAGAAGGACCGATAAGATTGAAAGTCGATATCACCAAGCAACTTAACGTGCGCTGCAATGGCGCTCTGTAGACGCAGCAGGAGGTCTTGAGCAGAGGGTGAGATAGTTGAAAAGAGATAGATGGAGCCCTCAGTCTATAAAAGATAGAAAGAAAGTAGTTAGTGGGTGGTACAATTAAGAATTTTTAGATCAGTAGAAATAGCTTACCGTCGCAAGAAAGGCTTGCGGAATAATAACGGCATCTGCTGTTGGCCGTACCCGAATCTTTCGGATCCGATTAACCATTTCGCCAAGGTGGAATTCTCCTGTTACCTCCATACGGCGTTGATCTTTGAGAGGCAGTTCCTCTGTATTTCGACGTAGAACGATCAGATTACCTTCTTGGTCACTCTCAAGGTAGGAATACCCTTCAATATGAGATACAGCGGTTGCCCAGCATGATTGGTAGTGTCGCGCTACTTCAACAAGCTTATCGGGCAAACCATCTTGACCTGGTTGATACTCAAGTAAGGCCAAAGACTTTTGAAGATCGGCCACTGCGATTATATTATCATGAATGACGAGATCAATAGGACATGTGGAACACCTATATGTTGCTAGCTTGAAGAACTCAGCGGAAGCCGACGTTGTTTCGACGTATTTATAAATGACGACAGTCTTAACCAGCGCGGCAACTATATGACCATTTAATATCGCTACTTGACGACATGCGCCTTTGACGGTAAGTGCAGAGACTAGAGATGGACTTCTGCTGCCATCAATGCTTAGTACAAGTATTCGACCTCGTTCGTCACCACCATCGTTGTCAAGGAAGCTAGTGCCAATGATAAATCTCTCAGCGAAAGCGCAATCACTGTGCTCAGTCGGTAATTCAGTACGCACTACACATTCAATTACTTCTTCTTTGCGATTTAATTTATATTCCTCTCCGACTCTATTGAAGAGAATGTCTTCTACTAGAGCAAAAGAACAACTTACAACTTCCTGGTCATGAATAAGTTCTCGTTTTACACATCCGATTCCAAAGACTCGTTCTCTTGATGAATAGGCTACTCTCCTTACTGTTACTCCCACTGGCAGCGACCTAATATGAGTTCTTCTCTGAGTGTCAATCTTTGAGATCTTAAGAGTCGTGGGGGTTGCGACCACAACGGAGTCGGGATAAATATCGCTATCGAAGTGACAGACTGAAGTTATATCATAAGCTGTCACTATAGAGTATACTATATGGCCATTTAAGCTGTAAATAAGGCTTGGATGTTCGCAAGTTGTAAAAATATTGATCAAACCGTTCTTTTGTGGGAGTATATGAAACTGAGCCTGCTGACTACCAAGAACTACACTTTTCTTTCCAGAAAGATTAAATGTATTTGGATCAACCGTGAAAGTTATTATGACTCCGTCTTCCATGGCGATGAATAATGATGGGCCCGAAATATTTGTTGGTAGAACTTGAGCCAAAGCAAGGCTCCTCGGAGTAGAAGCACCGTTGATTTTTCTAAGAGTTTCTGTCTGAATCGTCTCAATAGTTGGGAGTCTAATAATGGATACAGACGCAGTCTGCCAAAATCCTACAACTCCTATACCCGAAAATTGGATAGGTACATGAACACATGCAACTTGCTCATTTTTATCGAGAATTTGGGTAGCTACTTGGTGTAGATTCTGATTGATATCTAAAGAAATCAAGCTGACTCCATCCGAGGAAAGTAGCACATGTTCATGATTAGAGGAGGCAGCACTAATGCGCTGACCCCTAAGTGGGCTCCATTTGGCTTTGAGTTTAAAATCAGACCCGAGGATCATTACTAATGATGTTGTAATTTGAAGGATTCGACCATTAGGAAGACTCATAGCAAGAAGACTGCCCTCACAGAAGATCAGATCACCAAGTTGCTCAACTTCTTCGATATCTTCTGCAGAGCTAAACTTGAAGATTCTAGTCTCCATTGGTAAAGAAACAAGGAGTATATCATTAGACTCTGAGTCTTGAGTAGATTTTAGGGCAAAAATACTTATGACTTCCTGTATATCTGCAAGAATACCGTCATCTTCGAGGCCCACACCACTTCGTACACTCCTTAGGCTTCCACATTCATTCGCTCCACTACCGGTGATAAGTTGAGCTTGTCCAAATGAGTATTCGTTCCACTGAGGCTCATTGTCTCCACAACCCATATTCATAATGGCAAAGTCTAATATAGGTGCAATATTCGGCATAGTTTGTATCAGGGTTATCGCATTTTTGTCTAGGCTGAGATCGATAGCTATCACCTGAGAATCTCCTTCGTGCGAAGCGATAAAAACCAAATTTTCATCCAAAAGGACCATCTGACTGGCTTTTGATGTATTTCCAAGAAATCGCATTTTCATGCATAGAACTTCTGGTCCATCAACGACAATTGTTAGGACAAAAAGCCTTGTATAAGCATCTGCTAGTAGATAATTCAGACCATCTAACTGTTCCCAGGCAACAAATATTGAGGCTTCATCGAGAATATAGTTGACGACTGCCTTACTCTCATCATCTAGGTATGTCATCGTGGTCTCACCGACAATTATGACCCCGCCTAGAAGAGCTTTTGATATTGTAGAGCTTCGAACCATATACCTCTTCTGTCCCCGATCCCCCTTAGGTACGGGGATAAGATGACTGGCCGTGATGTCTAGTCCAGCAAGCTCATTATCACGATCTTTTTTTGGATTAAAAGACGAGTATTGTCCCTTTTCGTCAACGATTCTATACGTAGCGAGCCGTACATCACTACCATTTCTATCGGTGTAAAGGATTGCGATTTTGGGCTGCTTAGTTTCTGTATATAAGAAGGTTGATGACCGAACCTTGAGTTCAGCGAGCCGAACTTGCTCTGCCTTGTCCATGTATTGACCCTTTCCACGTTTAGGCTTTATAATTCTGATCAGGTTTATGACACCTTCAAATAGTTCAAGTATCATATATTGATGAGTTGGATCCACCAGACATCCATCCCGGCTCTGCGACTCTCGCATGTATCTATCTGATATATCTTCGAAAGATAAAATCGTTTCGAGTTCTTTTCTACATTTATTCCAGGCAATAGTAAAATACTTAAAGCGCAAAGTACCGATAAAGAGATGATCTGTCGTAGAACCTAGAGGGCGAATTTTCGCAAGCATTGATATGCGTCCATAAAAACTCTTGGAGAGCTTCATGGAGAGCCCGACCTCTGATGGCTCCCATATTTCAATCCGGTTCGCTTTTCTAAGGAAAGTTAGCTGTAGTTTGGACGATGGACATAATAGATGTAGGATTAGATGACTGACGCGACAACTAGGCATGATTCGTTGGCTGCAAATAAGTTTAGCTTAACAGCGTGACGCACACTGCTTGGCCTGTGGATAGGAGCTATGTATGACATCGTTGATAGGTCTTTTTGTCAGCCAGGTTCCTGATTGATGGACGCGATAGAACCGAAAATAAATATGAGCTATGGACATCGGTGACATCTAACGACAACACATGTATCAACGCATGGAGGGTTTATGATTGCCACCGGTTCTCAAGATATGTTATGATAGAGCGCAACGGATCTCGAGCTTCCGTACGCCCGATCCTCAAGTTCAGGTCTAACAAAACAGTGCTCTAAATGCAGCATCGATGCGATAGGTGGATATCGAAATGAATGCATAATTAGTTCATTCACACCCTCAAAACAAACCTTCACAATGATCAAAATCCATGAAACAATCCAAATACTTCAAATTAATTTCTTGACGTATGTAGACACATATATTCATTTTAACTCCAAAGCGCTCACGACTAAGTCTTCAACTTATTCGGGCGTTTTCTTCTGTGTTTTCATTTCTATATTTTAAAATGCTAAGTTACTGGCTTTCTAGATTCCATTCGGATCTTGGCCCGTGTGAGACTGGGTTGGATCAGGTTGGCGTCGTTCCAAAAACACTCGTTTGTGAAATTGCCTACCAGCTTCTCCCAGCAGTATGTACCATAGAAGGACAATTACAACAGGAATAAAAATAGCACATGTCTATTTTTGCATCCAATTTAGGAAGTTATAGCGCAAGACTTAGACTTAATTAATGTATGCAAAGTATGGAGCATTTTTCTAGACTCTTCTACCTATACTTCGTGTGCGGCCTGAGACAGAGAGGAGCCCAATATGCTAAGAATTCTATGACTCAAGTGGTACAGTAAACTAGACCACATTCCTATCCTTCGTGTAGGTTTTTTGTTTGGTTGTAAATCAACCTCGTATGGTATCGTGACACTTCGTAATCCTGTGGGAGCTTGAGCATGATTGGGGATGGGATGGATCACTTCAACTACCATTAAGTATACATGTCCCGTCCCATCTGAATGACAGAACCACTTCAGACTTCACCAATTTATCGAAGATGTTAAGTCGAACCGTCCATAGATCCCGACTTTGACGAGTTGAGGCGCAAATTTCTTCCAGGGCTCTGCCACCTCGCGCCTAAGCCCTTAACTAGTTCTCATTCTTGAAATTTCCCGTCCATTTTACTTCAGTAATGGTCATGTCTCACCTCATTATTTCCTCATATTATCCAAGTGGTATTTTTTTAATGGCATGCTGGGGTTTTGAATTTAAATTCATTAAACCCAATTCGGGGCCCTGTAGGCTCAAGCAGGTGTCTATCATACTTTCTAATTTACATGGCAAGAAACCTCTTGGTGGAAATCCCCAAACCTTCCTGTTTATTGACTATTTTTTTCCGAATGTATCCTTTAGGAAGCACAGTTACATTATATTGCCCTCCATGTAAACTAATCATATTATCTCTGCCGACCCAAGAATTGCTTGACCTAGTCCTTTACCTCAGCAGCATTTCGACCGTCTTTGTTATCCGGAATCACTCTTTCCAACCATGATTTAGGATCCACCATGGAATTCTTTTAATATCTCCAGGATTATCTATCATGGCTTTGTCGGACCGATCCTTAGCTTGTCTCCAAATCTCTCCTCTACCATTTGACCTTCGAGTGCAGGACATAATCATGCGGTTGGGGTTCTGCGATTGGTAACCACATGGACAGCTTGGACTGTAGACTCTAAGTACTTTTCCTCTATATAAATACAGATTGGGCCCCATGGGCTTACTTCGAATTTGATTTGCTAGACTACTTTGGGACCTTGTCAAGTTTTGTGAGTAAAAATGGCGATTCCTGCAGACTTATTTTCCATCGTTCCGACTTTCGGTTCTGATAGAGCTTCACCGCTCTTCAGGTATCGGGGTCAGCGATAACTATCTGTCAGGGCTGTTAAATCTGCCTTTTATTTTGCCAGGACTTAGCCCATTGTTGGTATGCGACGGCCTTTCCTGCCTCTTTCTGCCGTTTTTTAGACTGGTCTTCCCCACAAACTTCCACCCAGCTTGCCAGATATAATTTCCTATTGTTGGCGCGAATTTCTTCTCTCCCTCATTTGGGTAGCTTGATATTACTAATGATAGATTGTATAAGCTTTTGGACTGGTAGGGTTTTCGAGCGGCCAGCGTATTAGAGCCTTTGCTGCTTTTGGTGGATTCCTGTTAGTATGGTGTTATTTCGTGTTCGGGTACTCTCGCGCTAGTTGATTAGTAGATTCCTGTGACTATTTTTAAGCAGTTTCTTTGGATTCTTCTAAGGAGTTTTACTATCCTTCCAGGTATTTAACCACCCGGCCCGGCCTCGTCCCCAATCGGGGAGACATGCAGGGTTCACCATTATTGGGACGTCTCTATGTACGGATCTCAGTGACGCTAGATGACAAAGGTTTTAGCCGCATGACGAGTGTCCCAGCCACTGCGCCTTGAGCTAACAGTCACAAAGTCGGACTCTGTGCCAGGCATACTAAAACTGCGCCAAGTCACATCAGATTCGCGACATCCCACTTCTACAACGTACCCATTTCTACATCGCTCTACAATTAGCTCAGCTTCTCATTCAATATGTCTTCATCAGACCTCTTGCTGGGCCTTATAGCCTTTATCTTCCCACCTATTGCGGGTACGCAAGGACCTGCCACTGTGCTGCGTTTCATCGCTGAATTGTAATAGTCTGGGTCAAACGCGGCATCTGCTCGGCTGATTCCCTCATAAACATCTGCCTCTGCGTCCTAGGCGGAATACCCGGCCTCCTACACGCCTGGTACATAATCGCCAAATATCCCGAAAACGACCATGTCGGTGTTGCCGATCCAGAAGCTACGCCAGTAACCTATGTCGTGATTCATGACCCTCACGGCCAGAATCGTGTTGGAAATCCCACCACTCGTCAGGTCAATGTCGGATATGCGACAATGTCACCCGCGGGAATACAATCAAATTTAATGGCGGCAAATCACCAGCAAAGTCCAATAGGTGGAAATGGGGGTCATGTACCTCCTACATACTCTGAGGCTATAAAAGGAGATCATAAGATTCAGACTTGACGGGCCATCCTCAATGCATATGGTTAACAATAGAGATAAGTTTAAATATGAAGGGTTTGCTAGAAGGTAGATTTTAGACGAGAAACTTGGAAGACATAAATGCTATCCAACTCCCTCTGTACACTTTGAGATAGACTTTTATCGACCGAAATTTCTTATATAATACTGATTGATGGCTCTGGCCAGTTTCCCCATACTAATGGTCTATCTGACATTCTAGAATTCATCGGGGCAAGTAACTTGAGCTTTCTCTTCTTTTCGTCAACTTCTGATACGTACACAAAACCCATTACACTTGCGTCTCGCACAGTTTCCTGAGGATCCGCTATAGATGCATACATTACAGCTAAGATGCAGTGCAGCATCCTTGGACCAGGTTCAATCTTCTCGAAAATTTCTTGATCTAGTGACTCCTCCCCGCCAGGTGCAAAACATTGAGAATTAGCTAATTTATGTCAGCTGTGAGAAAATGGGTTAACGGGGACATGAGGTGAAGTAATACCATCTTTTATTTTGTAGACTAAAGCTTCCTCGAAGTTGATTAACTGAGTGTGAGGACTCAAGGTCGTGATCGGTCCCCCGAAAAAATACTCTTTGATAGATGCATCTCTGATTTGTTGTAGGTATTCTTCATCTCGATCTACACATCCGCCCGATTTATCTAGTTTCACTAAGGTAATTGACTCTCCTGTCCTTGTCTTGTAAGATGAGAAACGACGGAGCATTTCACTGTGTAATCTCTCAGAACCTAGGACGAGAATGACATTTACTAAAGGATCAGTGAGTGTGAGTGCTTGAGATTTGAGGAAGATTCCTACCCGAAAACTCCGAGACAATATGTGATATTAAATCGTATCCACCTTTCCCCTGACTGATGACCCCAGATGTATCAATGATCATTCCCGACTCTTTAATAGTTTTCTCGTCAGCGACTCTACTCGTTGCCGCAAGTGCAAGTCTCGTTAAGATTGGCTTGTACAACTTTGAATTTTCTTCAGGATTGCCGAATCCGTAAAAGTAACATAATGGAAGCTTTGCTGGTACTGAACTTGAAGTGCTGGTAGAACTACTACCCCAGCCTTGTTCTACGTCAATTATTGATGCAAAAGGTGTAGCCGTCATGGTCCCCGGGATTGATAGTATGCCCTCTCTTGGATCAGTATTAATCACCATTATTTGTCTATCCATCCTCAAGGCGTAAGCTGTAAGTATTTTTATTAGGCTAGTTTTGCCTGCATTTATAGGGCCCACGACTAAGACTCGAGGCCCATCTGTACCATCTTGGTGCGCCAGATCGCGAAGTTTTTCCAGAGCAAAATGAGTGTTTGCATATTGTATCATGGGCGTCTCTTCCGCCATGTATTCTTCACAGGGGCCTCGCACTTCTATTCGACAGCCGTGCCATGTGAATAGAGAAGACTTAGTACCTTGGAACTGATAGTTGTGATTGAGAGCGAGCTCAGTACCAAAGATTTCAGCGGTGCCGGTTAATACCTAAAATTGTTCAGCAATCTGCTTTGTACTGGCCGGGCGCTTGGCGAGCCTGCCTTGAGTTGGATCCTATCGGTGAGGGCGACCTCAAAGCGCCATTCTGTGTTAGGTTGTAGCTCGTGGATAGCCACTGTAGATTCAAGTGTCGGCGCTGTCGTTGCTGTCTGCTTATTCTTAGTGCTGGACTACGTGGGAGATTGGAAAGCGCTAACGGCTGGAGAAGCCTGGCCAAGACCGGGAATTGACATATCTCAGGAAGCTATTTTAAATCTGAAAATAACACTGATATGATAATAATGACCAACGAAGGGTTGCTAGGATCGGAATTATGAAAAAGTGCGTTCTGCGACCGCAAGGTACGCGGATGATTACGGCTCGATTGCATCTCGCAGGTCGAGCTCGTTAAAGGAAACTACTTCGAGATATCACCTTAACCGTAACATGTGCCATCGACTGAGATCCCACGTCCGTCGCGCTAGGGTTTCAGTGCTGAATTTTTTAAGGGTTCGATGAGATCTATCAGTACATCTGTGGCGCCAGCGCACGCAGTATTATCTTCCCTCCGTTGACAGGACCCTCTCGAATACTCGGTAATTAGTCGATCTTGAGATATCGTATGATACATGAGATACGAGCTGCTGCTCTCCAATCAATGCGTATTCATTTGAGCGAGAACTATTCAGGCACAGTAGTACGTCAGCAACTGACAAAACTTCAGCCATTCAACTTAACCCGTGGCGATATCAGTTTGCCAACAATCCGTTTTTTACTACCGATGTACACAATAATAGTTCAATGGCTCTCAGTATCTGTGTTCAAATACCTAATAAATTAAAATTCAATATTCATATTAGGATTTTAGGCTTTTAAATAAGTTTAGCATTCCTCCATAGTCATGAATTCATTAGGGTCTTTAATGGAGTTAAATTCAATATAAGCCGTCCCGCCGGCCATCCGTTTGATATGGACTATTTTTTGAACATCACATTTGGACAAAAGCTTAACCTCCTAATTTTTTTAATCGTGTTCTCTACGTCAATTTTTAGAGTCTGGTTGATCTTCAATTTTTTTAAATTCATTTTATTGTTTTTTCTGAGTCTATGACTATGTAGGACATGCAGGCCCTCTCTGTCTACAGACCAAGGATACCTATACCAGTAGTGTATCCCCTCCTATGCCTCCCATACAGCTCCCCTCAAACAGTACCTCCCCTCATAAGTCCTCATTCGATCATACACTAAGAGGAGCCCTTTACCCTTCATTATCTCCCCTCTCCAGCCAACGAAACGATGGCCATTTGCGGGTGTATGGCAGCCGGGAAAAATCGCAAAAACTACTGGGTGCGGAGCTCTCCTAATACCGACATGAGGACTAAATCCGAAGACATTTTGCCCCTTCTGAAGCGTTCGAAGAGGCCGGCTAGCTGGGCACGGCAGACTTGTGTGTGCCTCGAAGAATTCACACTCTGCCTTTCTAGCCTCCTTCCGACTCCATTCCGAAGGTCGTGCTGGAATGTCAGAAAAGTCTTGAAAGAGCGTGATAGCTGTATGGTAGCTTAGCCTAACTTCATTGATGCCATTCAGGACGCTGGGGATTGCCGTTGAATCATCGAAATTAGAAGTCCTCCTGGCTAAGTAGCCGAGATCTCGGTCTTGGCGCCCACAAACATGCCAGGGTTGCAAACCCCCCAAAAGTGTCAGTCCCAGCATATTCTTCAGAGACATGTTCCACCTCTCGCTTCATATCCCAGGCACCTGTCCTTCCTCAAGTTGTTTGTCCCATTAGAACATCAGTCCCCCACAAGCCAAGACCCAGGCTTTGTATTTGTCGACTTGATTTTCCCCTCGCGGGTATAAATAGCGTCGTAAATATATAGTGAGAGATGGCTGGAAATTAATGGGGCAAGCTCCTGTTTGAGATTAGAGCAACTCCTTTGTTGGTCGTTGAGAAAAGATGATGCGTGGTTAGAAGGGGTTGAGGACTCAGATGAGAATGGTGAGTTCTGCATGACTGAGAAGTCTTCAAATAGAGATATGCTTGAGGTTGCTATCCACTTTAATTCAGTTGTGACTCTTGGCTATCCCAGATATCCAGAGCATACTGAGCGATTACACCCGCACCACTGGGGGACTATTCTCAACACCTGTCAGTGGTGTCCCCTAGGAACCTCCAGCTCTCACTGTAGAGTCTACAGAGCCGAGATTGAGTAACAAAGTCCTCACTCCGACGAGGATTCCCAATCGCTTTCGCGGTCTGTATCGTCTTCACCCCTCAACACGTTCCCTTATAACCATTATAATGAAGCTAACCACGATCAGATCAGATGATAGGGTCGGAGCCCTACTCATCAACAAACCTTGATCACGGAGGAAAAGCCATTCGATGAGTTTCTGGAGCGTACCTAGCACCCGATACGGAGATGACGGATTGGATCAAGTCGGCCTCGACTGTTACAAAGAAGGGAGATGTAGATGAATATGCGCACCTCATGTGGTCCCAGTGTCTAGGCCTCGCCTGGCTGGGACTGCAGGTTTTTTGAGACTTTTTCCCGCGCACGCAGTTTCCATCGCTACCATTTTTTTTTGGGTAGAAGGTTCGGTGGAAAAGGTGGCCGAATTCCACGGGTAAACACTGAGCTGAATGGCTATTCATCACGGGCAATATGTCAATGATCTTTCAAGTAACAAAAGAGGCAAGGAGCACTGTACAAGGTGTGGCCTGGGTCAGAGAGGAGCCTAATGTGCTAGATAGTCATAGACTCAAGTAGTACAATAAAAACACACACACACACCGGCACCACTGGAAGGTGAAGAATTCGTCTTTGCCGGCAAGATATTAGCGGCTCTCCTACCGATAATTTTTGTAGGCTAGCTCTACCAGTAGATTACCACGCCGTCCGGATCTCAAGGGGCTCTCGATCATTGGTACATTTTAGATTGATCACTTAGTAAGCTGCCATAGTGTAGACTATAATTTCCACTTAAGGCTCACTTGCGAGTAGGTTATTTTTTCTTGAAATAATTTAAAGAGTATGCAGCTAAATAGCTATAACACATGATCGGTGCTTTATCTACAAATTAGATGACTCTTTTAACGTTAGAGACACTCATACTCTGGATTTCATTCGCAAATACCACTATGAGGTATGCTTGCTTACACAAACAGTCGACCCTCCTCCGTAAGTACCCACCAAAGAGAATTTCGAAACCTTTGGTTATCCAAGCATGCCTTCTTCATCCATGCATACCAGCGCCGCGAGAAAAGTGGTTGTGTTTTGCCGGATTTGAACCAGCGATCTACTGTCTCGAGTGGGATATGTGTCCAAGCTATCCAGACTCTATTTGGCAGACCGGCCGAGACGATGTACCACCGCACCATCCAACCATGGCGATGTTTATAGTATCGCCTGCACTCTCGCAACCGAAGTCCTGGCGCGCACAAAGCTCAATTCGTAAAACTCTTGCCAAAATTCCAAATTCCACGTCCGTTGAGACTGTATCCATCCTTCGCATCATTTTGTGAACTTGTCCTGATCCCTCTCACGTCCATACCAAGGAACTGTCACCCAGATTTGTGCGCCACGCTTTGCTTCCTCCGTGGGGTGTAAATATCGGCGTGGGCGTATATTTGGTGACCGGCTGAGGCCAGAGAAATTGGATGAAAGGTGTGGTCATTGGAACGAGGATATACTAGGTCGTAATTGTAGATTTGATGAGGCTTAGTAGGATTCGATCTCTTCGGGAGTGAAAGATTAATATGGTGGAGTATTTTGATTTATTGCCTCGTGGGCCAACTTGTTCGGTATTGCGAAGTTTGACTGAACTCGGCTCTGGGAGAATATTTCACTTCCAGGTTCGTAGAGGACACCTCGTACAAGTGTTCAGCCTTGCCCTCCATTATTTTACATCGTGCCAGCACGCAACACGGATCTCAAGGTCACATGCTGGTCAGCTTAGTCTAGAAAAATTACCCGACGTGCTGACGCTACCAAGATCCCGGCATATACTAACTAGGCCACGGCCCTCCTGCCAGGTGCCCCAAACGCACCCTTACTCTAGAATTTCTGTTAACTACATCGCAGACAGAATGAAAATATAAATCTACATGACGGAGAGGAAGAATGATCTATTACTGGTGCTGACAGAGCTACTAGTAAGTGATTGAGTCCCGCTAAATAGTTCTTATGGAGCGAGTGTGACGAGGATATTGTAAGTCAACCGGTGCTACTGGATTACCTGAATCGGCTAACTGGCAACGACAGCGCTAACGATGATCGAGAGCTTACCAAGGCTACTGCTTATGCTGTGTCAAATATGTTCAGCTACGAGTTTTTTTTCACGCACAGGCTCTTATGAGTAAAATAGGTATATGGGTCTTCATTAAAAAACCAAAAAATAAATTTGATTTTGATTTCGTTTAACCCGGTCAGGCACCCTATAGGTCCATGCAGGTGGCTATCTTCCTTATTTTCAAAGGAGGAAACCAATTTAGTGAAAACTCCTGATCATGTCTGTTTATGTTACTATCAATTGGTTCAGTTTACCTTCAGTAAGTGCAATGTACACTGTTCAGCCAGTGTGGATTCCATCCTCTCCCCTTCCAAATCGATTTATATTTTGTGAAATGACTATCTCGACTTTCCCTGCAAGTCAAAACTGTTTTATCCACCCTTTGCTTAATATCCACTGTGTGATTTTAGCCACATGTTCTGGGCTATTAATCATTGCTTCAAATGACCTCTCTTAAGCTTGTCGGAGAAAGTCGCCTCTTCCATTTGCCCACTGCGGACACGTCAATACCATGTGTTTGACGTTTTGTGACGGATATCCACATTGACAGTTGGCTTTTCTACTCCGGGTACTTTCCTTATGCACATGTAAGAATTGAGTCCGATATGCTCGCTTCTTAGCTGAATGGCGACACTGCTTTGGGCCCTGGTTAGGTTACGGTGGATATTTAAGGGTGTATCTTTGAAATCCATTTTGGTACTGTCTATCTGTTCCTCAGGAAATGTATTTGCCGCTTTCCAATGTTCTGGATTGGCTGATGCTGGTCAGCCAGGGCGCTATTTCCTGTTCTGGCTTGTAGATGATTCCTCCACTCATGAAAGGCCGCTATCTTTCCCGCTTCTTTCTGCCACCTCTTGTCCTTTTCCCTCCCGCAAGTTCTTGTCGATTCGGCGATATCTCTACTCCTGTTCAAGGCATGCGGAATTTCGCCCCCGTTTACGGATAGCTTTATCTTCTTATGTCGACCGCATTGTCTGTTGAACTGGGAGTTTAGCTGATAATCCGGCGTGCTGGAGCCTCCTTTGTTTCTGGTACATCTCTATAGGCATTAAAAAAACAATTGATATTTTCTAAAAATACACATCTATTTCAAACATAATTGCACTGTATTACAAGAGTATACATCAAGGCCTTCAGTATGGCTCGCAAATAAAATTAAAGCATACTAAATATTTTGTATGAGTTTGCTCCATCCTAATACTTTTTGTACCCTCCATTTGCCTTTATCACCACTACACATCTTTTGTGCATGCTACCGAGTAGTGACGATAGCTTCTCAGTAGGATATAATCCCATGCGGCCTCTGGCAATATTCTTAACCTGGCAGAGCGCTCAATCCTGACCCCATTTATCTCAGGACTATTTACCTGAATATAATTTTTAACAATGACTCGATTGGGTTCAGGTCCGGAGAGTAAGGTGGCCATCTAATAGGCGTTATTCCAACTTCAAGCAGCGCCTCAATTGTTGAGTATGCTTTGTGACATGGTGCATTGTCGTACATTTACAAAATTTATGGGGTTTCCAAGTGAAATTGATTCAAAAGAGGCAAAATCCTTTTACAAAAGGATGAGGCCCTCCTTAATTCCCAATCCTTCTCCCAAACTAGGAATGAGCCTTTCCGTGATCCATAAAATGATCCCCCAAACATCCAGCTGTTCCCGAGCATGATGAGCCACAATACAGGCCTCATCATCAGGCTAAACTCTGCTACTAGTACAAGGAAGATTTTGATAGAATTTATACGTACTTTAATTGTGATATCAAGTTTCATGTGAGAATCACCCGATACCCAGATTTCATCAGTCCGTAGTATTCGACTCCATTGTTCCTCGCTCCAATCTTTTCTGTTTGTTAGCCGCACTTAGCGGAGGCTTCTTCCGAGAAAGGCGTCTGCTGTAACCTCTTTTTTTGAGGGCATTAGAAAGTAATAGTTCATTGCATCCCCAGTGGCTGGAGGTTCCCATCGCTAGTTTCAAATAGCACATCTGAGGATTTTCGGGAGGTTCCCGGACGAAAGCATCAAGCTTATCAACTTGTTCCGCGCTTAATTTAGGTGAGCACCTTTTGCGAGGTGTAGGATTCTCATACTATCTAGTACACGCAAATTGTTCTTACCTTGTTGTAAAGCTAAGTTCGTTGGTTATATTTTGTAATGTCAAGCCAAGTCTTCTTTAGGTTCTTATTTCAATACATTGATCGTGAGTTAGATGCTTGCGAACTTTATTTGTAGAAGTAGACTTTACGAGAGACATTGTTTGCTAGATAAGAGGAAGAATTGATGGTGATGTTAAGGATTAGGGGATTTGTTGGTTAGGCAGTCAAAGGTGTCGTTGAAAATTACTTTTCTTAATCGATCGCTCGAAGTAAACAATTGGACCATACTTCATGGAGAGCGGGGGTTGTGAGGATAGACAGTCTAACCTATTACGAGCTAGCCCAACTGCGCCTACAGGGCTAATCCCATAAACAGCACAGTTTAAAGTTATACCCTTTCTATCCCTGAGGGACTGTAATCTAGCCGCCCCACCGACTACGTACCCTTCTGACAACAGCAACGTACATGCTCCCTGACCGAGCGGGTCCGCTCGGCTAAGGAGCCCTAAATTTAACATCTATCAGAACCAGGACTACGATTCCTCTACTAATAATCTGACACCAGCAACTTGTGATTTCCAAGGCTTTTCCATGCATCCTTTTGCGCCTCCAGAGCAGAGGGAGGAATACCGTGTCATGCTGATATCAGACAACAATTTGATGTGCACTCAAGCTCGGAGTGGGCGCTGGAGAAGTACGGGACAATGCAGGTTTAGTAAATAGATGCAACAAACTCCCCGTTCTTCCGACCCTACTGGCCTCTAGTCTCCTTGATTGACAAAGAGCTCATCGTTCAAGGCATTTTTCACACATGGAACCCCACTCTATCCACCCTCAGTGCCAAGTCTCGCTCTCCCGCATCACCGCTCAGCCAAATTCCATGGTCCCTTGATTCTGATACCCATGAATATCATCCTTTTTTAAAGTTGACGCTAACCCTGCATGCGAACCTCACACTTCTTCTCAGCTTAAATATGAGATCGCCACGGCACTGGTCCTGACATCTTGCCCGTTAAAGAAGCAAATGGCCAAATCATTACCATCTCGTGCCCAGTTAGTAGGCTACAACCACGCCGTTGCCGGGCAGTAAGTTGCCCAGGTAGATCTAAGTTGTTATGTAGAAAACTGACCCGCGATTAGTGATGGCATCCTTTGTGATGCTGACGGCGAACTATTAATTAAACCGTGCACTTCAACTGAAATCGACTTTTACGAAACCTCAATCGCATTCTATCCTGAATTCGTGGATTTGATGCCAAGATTTGTCGGCACTCTATCTTTGAATGACCAAATCCCTAATCCAGCCATCAAGGAAGACGTCACAAATTTACCTCCACAGCCAAATCAGACGAGTATAGAAGAATCAATCGAATCTTTACAACCTGGTGGGTCGACGAATAAAGATTTCAACTTTATCCCTGAACTTACAGAAGGTCCATCCCTCCAATGCATGGCTAACAGCACATCTGGCCATCGGATAGCAACAGATAAGGCTGTGGTACTTGAAAATGTTTCCTATGGGTTCCACAAACCTAATATTTTGGATGTCAAACTTGGAGTACGTTTATGGGCTGATGATGCACCCGAAGATAAACGAAATCGTTTCGACAAAATCACCGCTGAATCAACGCATAAGGACCTTGGGTTCCGTATCGCGGGAATGCGGGTGTGGCAAGGGCCTTCTTCCAAGGGGGAGGATGTAGATGAAGATGGCTACAAAATTTATGACAAGAACTATGGAAGATTCTACGTCAACAAAGACAATGTCGAAGACGCTTTCAAAAGTTTTATTTTCAATGAAGGTGCCGGACTAAATGAAGAGCTAGGGAAAATTGTTTTGCAGGCTTTTCTCGCTGATTTGAACCGAATTCAATCGGCCCTTGAAAGCCACGAAAATCGGATGTTTTCTGCGAGTTTACTTTTCGTATTTGAGGGGGATGGAAATATCCTTAGAAATGCCATGGAAGAGGCGAGTACTCAATCGATAGCTAAGGAAGCGGAATCTGATGATGATGAGGAGGATGATGAAGCCGGACTCAAAATATATGCTGTTAAGCTTATAGATTTTGCGCACGCAAAGTGGACGCCCGGAAATGGTCCAGATGAAAATACCCTAATTGGAGTGAGAAGCGTTATCAAAATATTAAACAATTTAGCTTCGACCTAATCAAATAGTGACGGAATATTAGAAAGCATTCGACGAAATTAACACCCAAACTTTTGCTACCAGCTACCTATGCGACAGTTATTTCAGGTTGGCAAAAGTTGGAGTCTCAAAAAATTTAGTTAGGTCCAAATTAGCCGTATACTATTTTGAGGACGAAGCCGTGCTTACGCTGAAAATTTTACGGCTTGCATGAGAATAATTATTCCTATAATCACAGCTTGGTGGTAAGTCCTTGGGCTAAAATGCATGAAAAATGCTACCGTCTAAATTAGATTAAAAAATTGTCGATAGATACAAAACTCAATCATCCGTCTTGAGTCATTTAGCCTCCAGGACAAGCTAGCAATGTCTGGATCTTATAAGCCAACTAAACGACATGTGATTGCCCACAAACTTAGAGCTCAAATAATAAGAAAATTATATGGGTCTAAAGTTGTACTAAAATCAAATAAGTGTCAGGCTACTTCGCGAGAATGACTTTGTTTTTGGTTGGATTATTCTCGTCAAATTAACAAGCTTGTGGAGACTCAATAGTGGTGCAAACTAAGTTCCTATCTGCGGTCAAGTTTCTAGCCACTTCATATATTGCTATCACGACTCGTATCATGCTGATTTTTTTTGATTTTATTTTCCTATACAATAAACTTCACTACTGGCTTAAACATATATGATATCCATGAGATATTGTCATGTATAGTGGGACTTCTCCACTTGAATTCATGAGAAAAAAGTGTATTAGATAGATCTACAAATAATTATTAATTTAGGAGTTACTTTTAAGGAAGTAATGACCCCTCAGTCATTGAAGTTGTAGAGCGCATTGATTCAAGTAACTACCGAAGTGAAACTAAGTACAGAATTTGTAGTCACTTGTATACCAACAACCTGGCCTACTTGATAGCCCCAATTATTCTAAATTCTAACATTTTTGTTTTATGTTTGTTTGCATTTTTAGAGTCGTAGGCAAATACCCCAAGTCCGCTATGTGTACAGGACCGGTGGAGGCGGCGGTATATGTGCCTGTATTCCCAACTCACTACAAACGCGTGATGCCCACCAAAATTTCAGCAGAACAAATAGAAAACTAAGGCAACTCCGAAAGATGGAAGATTTCTGTTAACATAGCTCTCCTAATATCAACCTGTACAAACATATAGTATAATTGTAACTCATATTGATGCTCAGGATTGCGATGAATAACAGAGATAGATGGTATTTATGTTAGAGTGGGATTTGGTAATGATGCACAGGAATAGGACAAGTGTACATATATATAGCGCGTGCTTGACTCCTCCTTAAAATGAGAATGTTCGATCACTCCTTCTGCTATATTGAGCAGTAAGAGAATCGGCATAATGTTGTAGTTATGAGCTATGCGGAAGTCACATTGCGGAGTGATGAGGAGTGGATGATGTTATAATTTGTGGTTGACAGTGAGTAGCCTCATACAATACTATGCTGTAGTTATATGGACAGAAAGTATAAGACTAAACCTGTGTCCATTTATTGTGGGTACATCTATGAAACTATATACATGCTCGCCTAACCAGTACACTAGTGATGTATACTGTTGCCTTGAGCCACACGCGATGCCCTAGCCTCGACTACCTCGTTGTCTCATATCATAACACTTAAGAGGGCCCAAAATTTTACTCCGAACATATATTGGCCTCGGGCTTCAGTAAAGAGAGTTCAAGCCTTTAGTAGCTAGGCGCGTAACACTTGTTTGCTTGTAGGGACACAATAGCAAGTCTGACAAGACTTGAACCGCAGAACAGAAAGCTAGAGAGCCTCAGATTTATGTAGATACATTCTCTTAATTTTCCTTCTTTACATTTTCCTATGACTGCCATCTCTAAATCATGGGGTCCAGCAAGAGGCCGACATTCATGTATATTTGAACCTTCTAGTGCAGGATGATGAGATCCTGGCTTACTATTGCTACGTTGGCTCTATGTAGGCCCCAATACGTCAGGTAGTTTTAATTGGACCAGGCTAACCCATACATGAAAAGCTCACGTGCTGTGCGCGAGCACGACGTTATTATAAACAAGTCAAAGCTGACCATAAAAAGCTGGAGCTGCAGCATCTACGATCACAGCTACGCATCAGGTTCGATCAGGCCTAGCACTGGAGTGCGCATTAGACGGGCTTGGAGAAACAACACTGGGAGTTGCAGGAATATTTCAGCAAGAAAACATCTGCATCATGGTAGCGTCGGATTGGACGTCAATGATAGTGCCACATGTACCACTATATCTCAGAACACTCGAAGGCAGTATTTCGGTAACTAACGAAATGGTTACAACGGAATTTTAAGCTAGAAGTGGGGTCATTCCAGTGCAGGTGCGACCGAACCCGGCTAGGCTTGGACAATATTCTACGAGTTGGATTGTTCACTTCTAACAGAAACTGGAAAACTATAAGTTCAGGCTCTTCAACGAGAGTGGAGCAGCAATCACGTTCGTTCGCCAAAGTCTCACGGAACAGTGACAGAGATGCTGGGGATTTCACAGCATACGGTCATATACCAAAGGACAAAGGTGCGGAAGATGCACCAGAGCACACGAGACAAATGAATGTCAATTCAAGTTATCTAAACGCACAAATTGCGCAGGTCCTAACGAATCGACCAACCCAAACTGTAAGGCGCGACCTAGGCGCCAGAACGAAATATTCCACCCCCCGCACACCAGCGGAATTAAGAGTTATTCGAGAACATGGACATCATGATTTTCAGGGTACACAATCAGAGTCGGAGAAAAAGGGTAAGCTCCCAGAGGTCGTGTTAAGCTCGGATGACACGATGCAAAATTAATGAGTTGTACAGCCACAACTCATAACCACTCGGAACAACAACACGCCCTTCTGTTTCACCAAGTAAACGTGGGAAAGGGCGGAGAGTATATGGACATCGTACTTCAGCAGGCATGGGTGGCTGTGGCACACATTGTCATGGTACAGGAACTATGGACAGTGCAGACGAATGGAGAACTTATAACAAAAATTCACCCGGGCTTTAACAGTTACAAGCCGACGGAAGCATTTGGGACTCGCCCGTAAATGTTTATTGGCGACGCAAATATTCCCTTCATCCCAAGACCAAACCGGCAATTACTGCTTTGTGAAAGCTTGCAGGGTGACATTTGTTAATTTATATTGTGCACCAGGACTTAATGATACTCTTGATTCCTTGCTTAGATGGCGCCCCTTAGGTCCTGCAGTTGTAGGGGGGATTTCAAAGCCTTCTCAAGGCGCTGGCAACCACAGACTTCTCGTCAGTACGGTAATGGTGACCAGATAGCGGAATGGGCTACAGCTCAGGATATGCATTTACCTACCACTATCGGTGTACCTACGCACAGGGATGGAAATGTGTTGGATCTGGTATGGAGCAATGTCACAGCAGAGGCATTGATATCACGCGAGTAAAACTACACTTCAGACCATATGACTGTCGCTGGGTCCGTTGAAGCGAGGCGAAAGCCCGATATGTCTGGAAAAGCCAGGAACCGTGGCTACGAGACAAGTATCTCTCTAAGTTTATCTAGCACGTCAAAGCGTGGGTCAGACCAGGCCTTTTAAATAGCGTAAGTGTTGGTATAAATTTACTGACCTCACTTTCCAATGTCAGTCATAGATTGATCATCGTTCATTATGAGTATTAGTATCTTTTTTAGAATAGGAGAAAAGACAAGATCCACCAACACAACCGCAGAAACATGACATATAGTTTACGTTCTTTGCGCCGTGTTTAAGTATCCAGACACTGATCAGTGAGCGCGCACAGATCAGGAAATAAGTAGAATTGGAAGGATATTGCTTCACACGTTTTACTTCTATTTCAGCCGAAGAGGAGGAAGTATCTATCCGGAAGCTTGATAGCGTATCTTATCGATCGATAATCGTCGACAGGTTCAATTCTTTTTTAGAAGAATTACTAATATCGAATTGGAAGGATATTGTTTCCCACCTCTTAAGATATATCGACCCTTTGAGAGCGTAAATTTTAAAAATTGACAGAACAATATTGGAAGGCTTTAGAGGCTAAATGGGATGAAGGAATCGATCTCGGCACGGCAACTCCCCATGATATCAGTTCCTACAGAGAAACGAATATTCATTTCTACGAAGAAGACAACACTACCAACTCAAATCTATGGGAATAGTACCAAGATGACTTCGCAACCTTTACAATAGCTGCTTTTAAAAGCCCTAAACTCAAACTTATTCAACGATTACGAAACTGCCACTTAAGTAGAGGAGTTTTCGTAAATCGCAACATAAATAGGCTCATCACTTCACATGCACTTTACAATTACGCAAAGGAAGAACAGCATAAATGGTCTGACAGTGATGTCATCAATACCACTGAACGATTAGAAGAGCCTCTGAAATCAGTAAAGCTAAAACGACGTCTAGATGTGATCCAAGTAGATAATAAAAATGTGGAGAAATACAGTGACGATGGCAGCGAGTTCAAGACTGAAAAAGCTTCCGACCTGCCGTTGCCCCTACAACCGATTTTGCCCGATTCAAAAGTTCTATCTTCACAAAGCCCGCAAATAGTACAGGCTCTTGCACCGATGTCACCAATGCCTTCTCCTACATATGTTGCGCAGATGTCGAACTTGATTAAGGTTTATGCTGGCGAAGCAAAATACGAAGGAACTGGGGATAGTGTAGATCACAAATTGACGAATTTTCACCACCTCTGTGATCTCACTGGTGTACCCAGAGAGGTATATCTAACAGCACTCTCAGTAATGCTGTCAGGATTCGCAAAAGAGCACTACTTCGCAGCAAATCTGTCATATTTGTGACGGCTTGTAAGCCGGTAATTGCTTGTAGTCTGCGCTGTCTAATGCAGGCTTAGCATGAAACAAGGAGGAGCCTATTCTCAGAAGCAGGGGATTATAAGAGGCAATACTAATATTCTAACACGTCGGGGAATGGGGCACGAGAATGTGATACAAGAAGGGGATACGAGTCGGGGATACGGATATACGGATAGAAATCTGTGTCATTGGCTGGGATAATGATCATGTATAAAGTAATTGTTATTATCCTCTTCAATCTGTAGTTCACCATAGATTAAAATTAAAACTACCTCTGACAATAAGGTTGCCCAAGTGCCTTTGTTTAGACTGTGACACTGTTTAACTTCTGAGCAAGTAGTTGACCATCTTTGTGACTTCTTTCAAAGTCCTATTAACAACCGAAGAAATTTTGGCAAATGGAACGGAACATCTTTAAAGTTGATTATGTCGCAAAATAAAGCCAAGTCATCATCCGAATGTCTGCAAATCTTGATCCAAACACTTAGAGAGATCCAGCATGGCCTAACAGAAGATCTACGTACCAGCTCCTTTCTGCACGACAAGATTATTTGTCGGTAAAAGGATCACATTTGGTTAGTGTGAATTGTTCTATGTATTTGCGGTATTCAGGTTGTCGTTAGTGTGGCGGCTAGTAAGCCGGTAGATTGCCTGTAGTCTGTGCTATTCATCACATGCATACTTATTACCTCAGCGCTAAGATACGCTGGTATTGAAAGTCTGGTACTGCCCGTGCACGAAACATCGTTGGTATCTAGCCCACACTTTAATAGCGGGAGCCGGACTAGAGGACAGAGACTAGTGTTTGAAATATTGGAATCATGTATATAAATAGGGCGTTGATTGTAGCAGTAGTCTTGTTCTTCAGTTAGTAAATAAACTTACCTTTCGACATATGAACACCCAAGCTTTATTTATCGGAACTGTTACAGTTAGGACACTGACAGGGGTCTGATTTAGCTCATTAGCGAGGCGCTTGGAGTGGAGGAAGGAAGGGGAGATGGAGAAAGGAGAAACGGAGAGACAACGTTTTATGTATTTCGAGATACCAGATAATTGATGTTATTCACCGACTTCGTGACGGCACCCAATTTATACTACTTCGTGTTTTACCAACATTATTCCTGCGTGCAAGGGCGTTTTAGCTTGCAGATATGCCATCGCGAACCCGCCATCAAAATTTGGTGAAGTCATGAATTAACATTAGAATTCTATAATAGCCTATGAAGGAGAAGAGAAAAGGTTCAATTCAATGTCAACCAAGATGCATTCTTCACGGACAGACGATATCATCACGCAGGTCAAGCACAAACCAGTAAAAATAACACGCGGAGCTGTTGACGGCAATCGCTTCAAAAAACGATATTAACAATATTTAGTCGACTAGCACCCGGGTTCTGGAACACGAAACTGCTTCACTTCCTATAGAAATATACTTGAAGCAACAAAGGGCACAATACGTAGGCCGTTCAACCTCCCTACCTGTCTAAAAAGCTCTTCAATCTGCATGTAATATGATCAAGCTGCGCAAAAGAGGGAGAGAAGATATTCGAGCAAATATTAGAAGAGCAGACGCTGCCCACTAGAGAGAGATTTGCGGAGAGGAGCAATGCAAGGACTTATAGAAGGAAGCGGTAAAGGTTGCAGCCTACCTAGAACAGGTAAAATCTTGGTCTACCCTCAAACAAAGTCGACAGCCTCAAAAACTTGCTACAGCAGCTAAGTTCGATCACTACCGACATTCTGGACGACAAAGATTAAGCCTTCAGGAATGCCCTTTTTCCCTCTGTAATAAACTGTATTGAAGAATTAAAAGGATATATATATGTCATAAGTTAATTAATGTGTGTATAATCTATATATTCTAAGCTAGTATATGCTGCTATAAGAGAACATATACACAAGGATATATTATCACGTGACACAACCCAGCGTAAGGCTGATACTTCAACAAACGGACAAAGGCCCAAAGTAGCCCAGCAATCCAAATTCAAAGCGAGTAGACTGGGCTTAATTCGTATTTACACAGAAGAAAAGTACCAGGTGTTATGGCGTGTGGTGAGCGAAGTCGGATTTGCCGTCTGCTGAAGGTATCCTAGTAATTGTTAATTATTATTGATTCATTTTATTGTCCTGTCTGAGTCTATGACTATGTAGGACATGCAGGTCCTCTCTGTCTACAGACCAAGGATACCTATACCAGTAGTATATCTCCTCCTATGCCTCCCATACAGCTCCCCTCAAACAGTACAGCCCCTCACAAGTCCTCATTCGATTGTACACTTAGAGGAGCCCTTTCCCCTTCTCTTCATTTTCTCCCCTCTCCAGCCAACGAAACGATGGCCATTTGCGGGTGTATGGCAGCTGGGAAAAATCGCAAAACCCACCGGGTGCGGAGCTCTCCTAATACCGACATGAGGACTAAATCCGAAGACATTTTGCCCCTTCTGAAGCGTTCGAAGAGGCCGGCCAGCTGGGCGCGGCAGACTTGTGGGTAACTCGGAGAATTCACACTCTGCCTTTCTAGCCTCCTTCAGACTCCATTCCGAAGGTCGTGCTGGAATGTCAGAAAAGTCTTGATAGAGCGTGATAGCTGTATGGTAGCTTATCCCAACTTCATTTGTGCCGTCCAGGGCGCTGGGGAGTGCCGTTGACTCATCGACAAAAGAAGCCCTCCTGGTTAATTAGTCGAAATCTTAGTCTTGGCGCCCACACAGAATCCAAAGTTGAAAACTCCTCGAAAATATCGGTCCCAACACGGTCTTCAGAGACCTGTTCCCCCTCTCGCTCCACATCCCAGCCGCCTGTCCCCCTTAAGATGTATAACCCCATTAGAGCATCAGTCCCCCATAAACCAAGACTCCAAATTTGCATATTATGACTTAATTTCCTCCTTGCGGGTATACGTAGCGTCGTAAATTTGCAGTGGGTGATGGCCGGTAATGATCGAGGCAAGCTCCTGTTTGCAATTGGGGTGATGCCATTATCGATTGTCGAGTCGAGATGATGAGTGGTTAGAAAGAGATTGAGGACTCAGAAGATTATGCTGAGTGCTGCATGGTTGAGAAGTCGTCAAATGGAGATATGCATGTGTTTGCTTTCGACTTCGATTCGGATGCGATTCTTCTTGGCTATTCCATACATGCAGAGCATACTTGTGACGGAAACCGAGTTGGTAATGAATAAATCGATTTATTAAACTATATGAGGAGATAAGAAATCTCTAGCTACTACTAACAGGCACTTATAACGTTTGGTCCGCTTCGTGAATCTGCTGACTGATAACTTCCCCCTAGGCCTAATACTTGCTACGGAGCCAAGTATTACCAGGAGCTATTACGCTATGATGTTGCTTCGACCTCCTGGCTAGTAGTGCCATTTCATCTGTATTTGCCCATCCTTCCTCTTTCAGTCTTATCGTAATTATTCCTAATTAAACGCTTAGGTTTCCTGCTAAGCTTAAACAACGGTCTAACCGTAACAATCCTGAGCGATTACACCGGCACCACTGGAAGGTGAAGATTTCATCTTTGCCGGCAATGTGGCTAGTGATAATAGAAGCTTATTACGTTCCGTATTAATGCGACTCTTCATTGCCAAGTAGCGCCAATTTCATCAGTGATGACTAGGTGAATAGGTAAAAAATGATATAACCGGATAAGGTTATGTGTGTTAGAATGAGCTGGCTAGTGTTGTGGTTATGAGCTGTGAGGTATATAGCAATTATGTCTCTGCTGTCCGTCGGTGGAATTACACGGGCTCATGTGCAATGGTGAGTCGCGGAGATGGCGCGCTCACGCTGGGTGATGGCACGATGGACACTGAGTGCGTATCACTGTGGCCAAATGGGTGTCAGTAGGTATCAAATGTGAACTCTTACTGACGATGGTGATCTATGAAGGTGATGCTAGATGTGCATCCCGACGATTGATAATATCATCTAATGGATGATGTGAAGTATGATATTATGTGGATAGATTAATTCACTAAACTCGGCAGGTGAAGAGATTGTAGAGTACATGAACAGCGTCTGTGCACCGGCCTGTATTTTCCACCCTTTCCTAATCCAGCAGCCCATCTTCCGTTCCCCTGTCTCCTGACAACTCAACCGAGCCAGCACAACAGCTAGACGTCAAGAGGTTTGAACTTAAGAACAAGAGATCGAGAGGTCAAGACAAGTAGTATGATACTAGAGACCATGAGTATATGAGATTTTTTTTTAATCATTTAATGTGTATTCAGCTACAAAGCTATGACACATGACCGGTGCTATGTATACATGTGGGATGACTCTTTTGACGTTAGAGACACTCATACTCTGGATTTCATTCGCAAATACTACTATGAGGTATGTTCGCTTACACAAACAGTCGATCCTCCTCCGTAAGTACCCACCAAAGGGAATTTCGAAACCTTTGGTTATCCAAGCATGCCTTCGTCATCCATGCATACCAGCGCCGCGAGAAATGTGATTGTGTTTTGCCGGATTTGAACCAGCGATCTACTATCTCGAGTGGGATATGTGTCCAAGCTATCCAGACTCTACTTGGCAGACCGGCCAAGACGATGTACCACCGCACCATCCAACCATGGCGATGTTTATAGTGTCGTCTGCACTCTCGCAACCGAAGGCTTGGCACGCACAAAGCTCAATTTGTAAAAATTCCTTGCCAAAATTCGAAATTCCACGCCCGTTGAGACTGTATCCATCCTTCGCATCATTTTGTAAGCTTGTCCTGAATCCTCTCACGTCCATCCCAAATAACAATCTCCCAGATTTGTGCACCACGCTTTGTGTCCTCCTTCGGGTGTAAATATCGGCGTGGGCGTATATTTGGTGACCGGCTGAGGCCAGAGATATTGGATGAAAGGTGTGGTGATTGGAATGAGGATATACTAGGTCGTACTTGTAGACTTGATGAGGCTTAGGTAGGATTTGATCTCTTCGGGAGTGAAAGATTGATATGGTGGAGTATTTTGAATCATTGCCTCGTAGGCCAACTTGTTCGTTATTGCGAAATTTGACTGAACCTTGGCTCTGGGAGAATATTTCACTACCAGGTTCGTAGAGGACACCGCGTACAGGTGTTCAGTCTTGCCCTCCAAGTATATAAGATTGAGAAGCTGAAGGACTACTGTAGGATAGCTCCAGCTTCCCTAATGTGAGGATTCTGGATAAATGCCTCAGGCAGGATATATGGGTTCCTTGTTTAGCACCACTAGGCTTATTGCCTAGTGAGGATAGTTATGTAGTTTTCATTTCGGATACTGATATCTTCACGCTTTGTTTTCTGTCTTTAGGAATAGTCACATAAATCTAATTACATTTCACTCTCGTCCTCTGCCACCCATCGTGACCTACCGTCACCTCCGGCCACTGTATCCAGAACGACTCCCCGCGTTCTTCTTTATCACCTTTCTAGAAAGCCCTCCGCATTCCCACGAGGCGTCCACCCTCAGTACATCGTACGCTACGCCATCCCTTACGCCTCAAGCCTTGCGCCTAGTGAACCTGCGCCTGACACGTAAGTACAGCTAACTACGTGCTAGATTTAAACTGAGGCTTTGGAAGATTAGGTCTTGGTTGTCGCCGGATCAATTGGTGTTGGTACACAGCAGAGCAAGTCCAGAATAAAACAATTAATCATTGAATCTAGAGAAAGAAGACTTCCTACTTCTCGCTGTACACATAGGGAATTGTAATTATCAGCGCCGATCATAACAATCTATGTTGCTAAACAACCACATCCAGACCGCAACATTGGTAGCCCCCGTAGCTAGCTAGGCCCTATATTCCATCCCTGCCGTACTGGCGCAGACAGTACAAACACAAGGGATTGATCCCGTAACAATGGCGAGCCCCTCCAGCTCTCACTGTAGAGTCTGCAGAGCCGAGATTGAGTAACACCGTCCTCACTTCGACGAAGATTCCCAATCGCTTTCGCGGTCTGTGTCGTCTTCATCTCTCAACACATTCCCCTATCATCATTATCATGAAGGTTACCACGATCAGATCAGATGGTAGGGTCGGAGCCCTGCTCATCACCAACCCTTGATAATGGAGGAAAAGCCATCCGATGAGTTTCCAGAGCGTACCTAGCACACGATACGGAGATGATGAATTGGATCAAGTTGGCCTCGACTGGTGCAAAGAAGGAAGATGTAGATGAATATGTGCACCTCATGTGGTCCCAGTGTCTAGGCCTCATCTGACTGGGGCAGCAGATTTTTTGAGACCTTTTGCCGCGCACGCAGTTTCCCTGCTACCATTTATTTAATTTTTGTTTAACTTTAGTGAAGTAGATCGATTGTTGTGTGGCAACTTAATCAGTAGAGGATAGTCTCTAATAATCACAAAATATAATGTCTCACAATGCTCGCCTAGTATACTAATCTCTACCTTAGAGTGCAGCTGACACTATAAACACAAGCCAACGATGGAAGGTGTTGTGGTCCGCCTATTGGCGGTGTTCTCCGGTATAGTCTGAGTAGCCTGGGCACCTGCTCCACTTGGGAAGGAGACGCCTAAGACCATATTTCGCGCAGAGAAATGTTGAAGATGATGGAGGCATGTCTGGATAACTCAGGGTTTTTGAGACGTTCCCCTGGGTGGGTATTCACGGATGAGGGTTGACTTGGGGTGAAGAAAAAGCCGGCATAACTTCGCAGTGGTACTTGCAAATGAAATCCGAGGCATGAGTACTCTTCTTGTAAATTGAGTCATCTTTTCTATACTTTTCTTTGATATTGTGTCATAGCTAGATAGCTGCATACGCTATTAAAATCTGATGCAAAAAATAAGAGTCAAGAAGCAATGTACAAGGTGTGGCCTGAGCCAGAGAAAAGGCCAATGTGCTAGATAGTCCAGGACTCAAGTAGTACAATAAACACACCTCTCTATCTCAATCCCTCATTCCCAACGTGATCGATTCCCACCCAAGCCTCATCAAGTCTACCAGTATGACCTAGCACATCCACATTTCAATTACTACACCTCACGTCAACTTAGTCTTTGGCCTCAGGTGGACTCCGAATATGCGCGCACACCAGTAATTTAATCCGACAGATGAAATAAATTGTTGTGCAAAACTATGGATGCAGATCTTCAGGAGGGACGCGAGAGAAAGTAGGATAGACAGGCAAGATGATACTGGGAATGGATTCGATCTTGGAGAGGGCTAGATTATGATTTTTTCGAAGGCGGTTTTGAATTTCAACACTGTGCGCTGCACGACCTCGTTTTTGAGAATTCAGGTAACATTGTAAACACCTTCATGATTGGATGGTGCGGTGGCACATTATCTTGACCTAGCCCAAAGTGCGAGATTTATAGGCAAATCTTTGCATGATGAGCTTCTGTATAGAATGATGACTGCTCGACAGGACAATGAGTGGTCTTGGTTGTGAGTTTATCCTCGGATTGATATTCATGAGACAGAGAGTACAAGCCGAGCTTACACTGATAAAGGCATCTCTTGCTTTGTGAATTCATGGTCGAGTTGAATCCTCAACGACTAATGGGCATCGTCAGAAACTTATTTTGTTATCTTTTGCCTAGTCTGAGAATACATAGGATCCCAGCCCAATATGCAATCCGTTGTACACTTATCACCCCTGATTCGTAGTCAGTGCGCTCAACTCGTTTATGCTTGCTACTGAGCACAGAGGTTTGGTCCAAGGAGCAGACATGGGTATCGACATTGAATCACCACATCAAAAAAATGAAGATCAAGCCCGGATGATTTCAGATGGTCTCAGATTGTGTAAGTATTAGATGTGAGATCCTGGAATCAAACCGTCTGAACAAACCAATGGGTTTTGGTGCAATTAGCTGCCCGTAGGTGTGACAGCAGTCTAGTAAAAAGTCCGGGGCTGCGCGAAGCTTTGGCAGGGATAGAGAAGATCAACCGGTTGCTTGGCAGGCATAATGTGAACTACTCTACGCGAAATTTTTCTTGACGATACAATTATTCTTACACACGAAGGTGCCTCTAGCTCCGTTGCCGTCCCAGTACCAATCCTGCCTGGACTTTTCAAGTAACCATGAAAAATAACATTTTTGGCTGGGTGAGGAGCTTACAACTGAATCAGCCCCGATCCAATGAATAAACATCATTGTCTCGACAAAAATTACCAGCCACTTCTGTCTCCAGATGACCGAAAAATCTTGATTAATTTACACCAGATTCGCTGACGGTACCAATTCCGAAATTTTCGAATCCGGCGTCCCACATTGGAGCATGGTAGTTGTCGTAGACCCGGCATCAGTGACAGTGGTAGTCTGAAAGACTACAGGACCAGGCCCGCCAATATTCTTCGTAACCAGCTGGCTGTGACCATGGCATTCAATGTAAAGAGTCTCAGTAATGGTATGTGCATAAACTGTATGGACGGGACCCATAGTAAAGGCAGCAAAATGAAGCAAGGTGGTGGTATGAGGAAGCATCTCAGTCTTAGTCTCCTGATCGCTCAAAGAGATGCCGGAGATCATGTCCATCTGGCTCATGGAAATACCTCGTCTCGCATACAGAGTAGGCAACAGCGTAAGGCCCCAAGTAGCTGGTCTAAGATATGTTAGTTTTCTAACAGTGCTCTTAAGCCCGGATAAACTTCGCCTACAAGACCATTGACGTGATGCAGAGGCATCCAAGCCTTGTGATTTTCATGGTAGCTAAAACTACAATATCAACGAGGAAGTCAACAACTGTAAAATCTTGTAATTCGTCTAATCACCCGGGGGCTTTGTACAGATGGCTAGAGACAATCGACAGGATACTAGTGAAGTTTGCTGAAGCTGATGTAGGTCGATAGAAGTTGTTGAACTTAGCGTGCTGAGATGAGAGATAAGATACACATATTTAGAGACTGATGGTAAAATGTGACCAGGAGAGTCTCATTTTATAACATTTGTCTTGTTTTCCTCTCCAAGCGATCGTATCTCACTTCACTTCAGCGTCGAAGGCACTATATCCGTATCAATAATCTCATCCTTAGGTGCCACTTATCCGATGTGTCATACTCCTAGCTGTCTCCACATCCATGTACGACGGCGAAGACGGGAAGCTCAACCACTAGATCGTATTTTGTCGTGGCACATGATATTCCAAATATTGATTAAGCTGTCTCCGAATAAATTTATTGGTGGTAGCTCAAGAGAATTGAATTGAACTTCATTCTAGTCCCTACCAAATCTGTAATAATGGACCTACAGAGTTACATAGAAAGCTTTGAGAGCGATTTGTAATATGTTAGTTTAATTTTCCAATGGGTGTTGAGGGGCATGCCCTAGAGATCAGGAGAACAGCTAGTGAGAATTTGACAAATTGCCTCTTGATGGAGCAGATGCTAAACAGAGATGTAGCTAAGTGTAGGTCGATGTTAATTCCCGTGACTATGACACTTCCTAACCGCCCAATCAATTTGGAATCAGCACATCCAATTCAGAGGCACGTCAATCAGCGCTCACATCAAACCGGGCAGTAGTGTTGTGTGACCAGGATGGCATGAACCATCTTGATCCGTCAACTTACAGGGCTGAAGCTGCGCGCTCCGTAAAGGCATCTGCCTGTTCGTCCATCACAGGCGTCCATCACAGGCGCCCACACGTCATGTCTTGAGCATATGCGCAGTTGTTGGAAGCTTGATGCACCCTGTGTATCGAAATGTCTGCTACAGGATGTTATTCTCCACATATCCGACACGGCTTTCTGGTAGGCCGCTTTGGAATATGGAAATTTGATGCTAGATCCCAGCACACCATTTTATTTGCCCAAACTTGTCAACGTCAACGCCCGTGCCCTAAACTCAACGGCTAATTCCCCTGACGCCGGCCTCCGTCGTTCGACACACATGATACAGTCAGACCCCTGTTAAGACGATATTGCCGTTAATACGATATATTTTCCGGAACAGACTTCGTTCTCATACATTTACCGATTGCTCGATTATCTTACTTCAACCTCTGAATTTCGTCTTAACCAGGGTTTTTTTTGCTAGATTGGCGCTAACAATGCCGCCAAAAAAAGAGAACATCTGTAGAGCAACGACGTGCTCTGCGACGATGGGCGCACCGCCAGGTCCCAAAACCAACACAAAAACAGTGCATTGAGTGGTTCCTAGCTGAGTACGGCCATCGATTAAGCCAGTCCACAGTCTCCGAGTCCTTAAACAAGACCTTTGCAAAACCCGACAAAGCTACAAGTACTACTGCGCTACGACAGCGTGCTGGAAACTGGCTTGACCTTGAGAGTATTAGAGCGATTAAAGACGGCAATTGGGAGTATAAAAGAGGCGTCAAAGGTACAAAGTAACCTAGATAGCTGGATTAGATAATCATATCCTTTTAAACGGTATCCCCTATAAGACGATATTTCTCACGGCCCCGATTACATCGTCTTAACAGGGGTCTGACTGTACGTTGTAATATGTCCAACCCTTAACTAAATCAAGCAGGATCTATGCACTACTATCTTATATTGCATCCCCACCTCAATGCCAAAAAAAAATTGTTCGGTCCCCTCCCTTACCCCGGGTCGGGTTCACCCAGAAACCTTACATTCGAGGCTTCGATGAATCTACCGGCTGCTCAGAATGTAAGTATCCCTCCCTCTGCGATTCTAAGTGTTTTTACATCAGATTTAAACTGCGTATGGAGCTATCTAGCTATGACACAATACCAAAGAAAATACAGAATAGATGATTCATTGTAAAAGAAGAGCACTCATGCCTTGGATTTCATTTGCAAGTACCACTGCGAAGTTATGGCGGCTTTTTCTTCACACCATAACAACCCTCTAGGATGCACAGCTATCATTTAATCTTCGTCGGAACATATTTCATCATTATGGTCGTGCTGTGAATATTTAACTGAATTGGCTGCTAAAACTGATGTTAGAACGGTCAAGACTCTGCGGAGACGTATGATTGACTTGATTTTGATAAAGCAATATCGTTATTTTACTTGCCACAAGTCAATTTCTTCAAGGCTACTAAACTAAACTAGCCGTAATCTATCTAATATTTCTTTGATTCATAATTAATCTCTGAAAATCTAATTAAGAAATTGGAAATATCCACTGGCTTTTTGATAGCGTGTGGTAATTCCAAGCATAGCCAACGAACAATCTAGTTTTCAGCTGGACCCAATTATATCTAGTCATCTGCGAGCTTTTGAGTATTTGGATTAACCACGAGTTCTACTGGCTGCTAGCGTGCCTTGTGGATTTTTTTTCGCAGGCCGCACAACAGCGAATATTTAACACGGTAGATAGTAGTAGCAAGAGTTATAATAGATCGGTACCTTCCTCAAACCCCCATAATTAATTTCTTAAAGATCTGCATTAAGAATAGCAGCTTCAAGCTTCTCCTCTACATCCGGATCGTCTTCGGTTGGAGGGGGTCTATCACTAGCAACTGCAGTTTTGTCAATATTACCATAAAGATTAGTGAATATTTCGCATACCTGGTTCCTTATAGTCCATCATTTTTTCGTTCAGCAGTACATCGTAAAAGGAGCAATATAGACCAATAACTGAGTCAATAAACTTCAAACCTATGTTTAATTCTTGTATAACCAACTCAAGCTTCATACCAATAAATAAAGTCTGAAGGGCTTCATCTTCAAGCAAAAATGACTCAACTTCGGGATCTTTTTTATTACTGGTCGTACCTTCATCATCAGTGAAATCAAGTTGCTCCAAGTTAGGGCCCTCCCAAGGCTTGAACTTGACAATGCCTAGAGGCTTCACATGGCCAAATTCTCTTACGTAATCTTCAACCCCAGTTGATTGGTTGATAGTATGACTAGAAAATTGTATCTCTGCCACCTGAAAGTATTTGGTCGAGGTATTGACTATGTGGACATCAGGACTCATGGTTTGTGAAAACAAACCATCATTACCATAATTGGCAATGCATGATTTGAATATCCGTTCAGCCTCACCCTTACTGAAGCCTCTTACCGTTGAGTACTTTTCGCGGTCGGGGTCATTGTCATCCCAACACCCGAAACCCCAATCATTCTTATATCGACCCCCGAAAAGAATTGATGATGCAACGTTGAAATCACCAGGAAGCTTTGATGCGGCGATTTGAATTTGCCATAACTCCCTTTTCGCATCTTCTATTACTCTTCGCGCGGCCATGATATCAGCAGTATATTCAGGGCATACATCATGTTGGAGAATATAGTTTAGAAAGTTACGAATGACAGCGCAATAGCTTTCAAGTTGGCTTTCGCTCTCAATGGGTAGCATGCTGGATAACTTGGAGGAGCTAGACCGTGTTAGCAGGGCTTGTAACTGTACTTTATTACTAACAAAAACCCTTTTGCCACTCCTTCAAAGTCAATAACCCAGTTATCAGAACCATCATAATACTTTGTATTTTTATGGTTCGTGCGAATAAAGTCTGTAGCTTGGATATCAGCGATCTCATTAGCTGTTGAATTTTCAATGGTCTCTTTGTCTAGACCCCCAGTAAACTGCTTGGCGCCTGTTTCTACGCCACCAAGTGAAAGGTATTTTGTAAAGATGTTAGCGCGTACTTGGTCTAGCTTGCGCTTAGCCCTAAACCTTTGGATACACGTTTGCATACGACTAGGGAAATCAGCAGAGTCATTGTTACAAAAATTAGACCCACTCTTTGAAATCATGGTTCCTGATGGATACTTATTAGTCGGTTCTTCTAGTATAGGGCCGCGCTTACGGGTCATATAGATCACGCTCAACGGCATAATCACTTGGGGTGATTGGCGTGTCAGCATAGAACTCTATCAAGCTTGTTAGTTTTAGCCGTATTTTAAAGGCGCAGGTAGTATTTACCTTCAAACCCTGATGGCGGGGGCTTTTTTGGCTTGCCGTTAGAACGTTTCTTCTTCGTTTGGGTATTACTCTGATTTTGTGCAGGTGGTGGAGATGTTGGTGTTGAAACACAATTCAGCTTGCTTGGCTCATTACTCTTCGTGGATGCGATGGGATTTCTGGGCGAAGCAGGTGTTGGCGGGGGTGGTTTGGGATATTCCTGGGAGTGTGGTGTCATAACTCCATCGGGAGAAACTAATTCCGTGCCGGGTTTTTCGCTGTTATTTTGTAGTTGAAACCCTGTCGCAGTATCGTGGGAGAAACGAAATTCTTGTTTTGGTTGCTCCCTGACAGCCTCCAAAGAGGCGTTAAGATCTAGCGCGCTGACAGCTCGGGAGAGCTGCACTTCCTGAGAAGATTCCGTGTTCGGGGAGTTGATGGCAGGTGAATCCATTTTGAGAGGGGCGTTTCTGCATGGAACCTCCTGGGTTAGTCTCTTGGCCTTGGAGTTATTCGGGAAAGACTACTTTTCCGTGTTGACGTTTTGGATCGAGGTTGAAAATTTAAGCCAGGCGGGAGATTATTTTAAGGGTTAAGTTGAGAAGTTAAGATTTTAAAACGGCGTAGGTGAATAATGGCTCTTCAAGACGGCATGGCGACCAGTCCGCTGGTTTGAGTAGGTAAGAGGGGGTCAAAGGTTTAAATTGGAGGTTGCGAGGCAGAAGAGGCAGATTAGAGGAAGAGAAAGAGCTAGGAGTTGTGTGGACAAAGAGAGAAGGAGAAGGGAGAGTTGATTGAAGTTGCAGTAAACCGGGGACCCTTACTGAGTGCGACCAGACCATCTGATCTGTACACCCGAGGGAGGGGACCTTTGAAAGGAAATATATATTATTAGAGCTGACGGCGTTGTCACCCAATCATCTTCGGAAAAGTTACGACTTGTTTGTTGATCACGAAACTACCGGAAACTCCGATTGTCGCACGCCGAACGATAGCATTCTGAAGAAAATTTTTCGTTTCTCGTGGCACCCGACCTCTTTAGTCAGCAATTCACGCTGAACCTCTCCATAAATCATGTAGAAACTTGTAGGTAAAGATATATCTACGTCTTGTGCCGATATCCGGATGTCACTTGGAAGCTACCCGCCTAGCTACACGTCACTTCAAACCATTGGACGACATCACCCGCGCTGGTCCTTGGCACTGCTACAGGGTCGGCCAACTTTCATCAGATAGCATCTTGAAAGAAAGCCTCAGGCCACAAGGTCAAGATGTGATAGATCCAACATGATATCAAGGGAGTAGGACCATTCCAATCTTCTCTGTCCCTACAGTACCGTGCCTAACCTACAAGAACGCATTGGAAGGGGTTACTTCATAGTACGAGAACACCCAACTAGCTATTAATGGTGCGAAATTCCAAGTTCCTGCACAATTTATGACTTTACAAATTCTTCACGTTCTCGCACATGATCCAGGACTATAGCGCACGCAGTTATGATGATAGTGATGATGAAACGCTCAAAATAAATTTGAATACAAAAAAATTAGCTCTTCCTCGTCGCATCCGTATTCCCGAATTTCAAATGCACTTTAGGCTACGATTATTATCATTTTCTTTATCATTGCAAAGGTCCAGAATCTATCGATATCAACTGGCATAAAATTTTGATATTTCTACTAAAATCTAACCTGTAAATTAAGGAACTAGTTAGATACTTAAGGAGACTTTCATTGTCTGGAACTCAGTAGAGATTTAAATTTAAATCAATCATTGAGCCAGGATCGTGGCTATTGGATCCATGAGAAATTTTACAGCGGCCACGTACACACCAGAGCCGCTCGATATAACTACTGAGATGATTAGCAAGATATATGGTAGTAATGACGACGACAAATATTCTTGTGGTGACCATGCAAAATGGGTTGTCGTTACAGCCCCTTTAGTTCGGATGAGGTCGATGATGATCAAGTAAGACCAATCGGATGCAGGTATTTCTAATGCAACATGCTCATCTTTCTAGTTAATGATTACATAAATCAACGATATGCCCCGAAACACATGCTTCACTTAGCATTACACATTACTGTGCGGCTCATTAGCATGCGAAAGGGCAGTCTGCACCTTCTTGGAATGTCTGAGAACACGCTGTCTAGCGTCTAGAGTACAAATCGCCATGACTGAGACGCGCGACTCATAGGTAGAAGAGATGCGTCTTGCTCAGCTGGTATTGATTGGGCATCTTAAAGCAATTTCGGCTTTTACGACAACGATAGATGACATGATACCTATGGTTCTCGCTTATGACCTGATAAATAAGTCACATGACGCACAATTATTCTGCTTGGTTTAGATATCGGAGCTAGCGCAGGAATTAAGTAGAAGAAACTTAGTAGTTGCATTCTGGGCTACATCGTGCAACGTTTTATTAACATATTCCTACCCGTACTTAGTCCTCACGTATCTCCGATCTACTTATGACTCCGTTCCAACGAGACCCATCCGTGATTATAGATTAAAAGGAGACATATGGCCAGTGATTGGTCAAGCACTTGCAGTCGTCGAGGTCTGAGCATGGCGTGGCAAGACTGATAAGCCAATAAAATAGATTCCCTCCGTCAACACTTCTTCGCAATGCTATCTTGCCGATATAACTGCGATATACTCTAAAAGCGCCTTTCCGGCGGACTAGCGAATCAGTTATCAGCGGGTCGAATTGCCGCCACTTCAACTTTGCCTCAGTTAAATCAGCTTTACCACCCCTGGCGCATGGTTAATGTCCGAAAAAGGCCTAAATTGTGCCGGCAGTGTAAGGGGCGTCAGGTGCCGTGTCTTTCCGTGTTTCAAACATCTGGGCACTACAGAAATTCCACCTTCTCGTGCCATCAGGCAATTCTGACAGTTTAAAATATCAAGGCCAGGATAGAGAACGAGAATTCGCTAACAACGAGATAATTAAGCAGATGAAAGACGCACAGAGTCCGAAGGCCACATGGGAGATTATCATCAATCGTAGAGATCTCATTGGCTAAATCTGGCAAGGAAGAGCCGTCTAGCGTAGAGACAGACAGAAATTGCCTATTGTGATGACTTGAGCTACTACGGTCATCATAATTGATACTGGAAGAGCGATTCTAACACGATCAATGCCACAGACGAAATATCGATTAATCGTCGCACGTGATGATGAGTATAAAAGTATAACCAGGCATAACAGCTGTGCAGAGTCAGATGTGAGTAATTCTTGTCGTAAGCGGGCCGTACATCATTCAGCCGATATTTCCTGGGGCTCTACTTTGCATCAGCATAGAGCATTAATTGCGGAAAAAGAGAGGATATAGCAGTCTCTAGACGTTAGGATTGCCCGATAGCAATAGGCTATGCGGACACGCCAGACGCCCATTATTGGGCATAGAGGCCGGGTCATACCCGTGAGTCTACTTGGCGTTAGCTGCAAACTCACTCACCCTTCAGCCAATGATCCGCTCGTTTCATCTTGTATCATGGATGTTTGTAGTCCAACGTGATAGCCAAGTTTGAACCTTACTTTATTTCCTCCCCGTAAGTTGGCCAATAAATGACCACGCACATGTTGGTAGTGTGCCGAAGAATGCCGCCAACGTGGAATTTGCTTACGGATTGTGCCAAGTTCAAATTTACCTTCTGTTTCTTCACAACCAACGTTGCAGTCCCAATTCTACTACTACATTAAAATAAAAAAATACAGTTTGGGTCCGCTAACGATATCGTGATACTCAGCATAGGAATCACCGCGTCTGAAGCAGTGGCCGAAGCCCAGGAAGAGGTCCAAAAACTAGTTCAGTTAGTGAGTGAAAATAGGATAGACTTCGACCCGACAAAGTCTGAAATGTTGGTAATTGGGGGAAGGCCAAAGAAAACACTAGATACTCCAGGCCTATCTGTCCAGATCCAAGGCCGCAGCGTAACCACATCTCCGTACGTGAGATGGCTGGGAGTATGGCTAGACTCTCAGCTCAACTTAAAGCAACACGTTCAGGAATGCTGCGGGAAGGCGCAACGTATAACATAGTTTATACGTCGAACAGACTCGGTACAGCACGGCGCATCCCCGGGACCCATGATTATATAGTACAGGCTTGCGTCCTCACTACAGCACTATATGGAGCAGGGGCGTGGCAGCCAGGTCTCACCCGAATTAAAACTCAGCAGGATAGAAAATTTTGTACAGGAGTAGTCTAGCACACCGATCTTATTGGCAGCACAATCCTGAAGGCACTTAGAGCGGCGTTACCTGTGTGGCGAACAACACCAAATTCGGCGCTACACAGAGAGTCGGCTATCCCCCCGTCTGCTGTTATCTTACAGCAGAGACAAATTCTAGCGGTCACACGGATTCAAAGATTGGACGCATGGCATCCATTAGTATCCAGGTCTAGAGAGGGGCTAAAAGATACAATAAGCCGCCTCGGTTCCCGCATGGGTCAGAGGAACTGGTCATTCAAGTTCCCAGAACGGTAGCTCACGCGACTTCAGATCAGCGCCAAAAATATGCTGATGGCCAAAGGACCTGGCAAATTATAATTGCCAAAAGCCGAGTCCATCAGAGAATTTACCGGCGGTGACATTCAGGACGAAGCAGTTCATGCTAAGCAATGGATAGCAAGCCTATCTATTCGACTCTGTTCTATTTCGATTTAGTATATGCCTGTCTGTTATCACGGACACGAGAAAAGATTTACGAGATTACTTAATGTGAGGTTAGATTATATTTCCGATATTATTTGGTTGAAAACTTGTCCCTATAATTTTAGGCTACAATGTCTTTCTATAACTAGGAATATATCCTCATATTTACCATATCTGCTAGCCATTCTGGATCTAGCGTGCAAACCCTGATTCATCTCATGGCTCTAGGTTAGGGCTGTATTTTCCGAATAGCAGTACTCTTTTAGCTACTACAATACGTTGCAGCTTTAGATATAGTTTACCGTGTAATACTTCCACCTGAGCTACATGCCTGCTTGAAATGCGGCACTGTTATAGTAACTAGGCTATATAGGAGCAGGACGATGGATACTCTTGGGGAAGTTGTGCTCACAGTAGGTCTCTATAGTCGCTGTCGCGTGTGTTCTCGTGATATGTAAGACTTGACTCCATATTCTCGTGTAAAGGAAACTTAGTTACAAATGAATGGACGGAGGTTGAGACCTCCTTATATCTTGCTCCAGACTTACTGTGTTGTTCACAGCCTAGTGCTAGAACATTCCCTTATGATATCATTTCTCTCCTACGAGAAATGACCAGCTCTTTCTCTCTCAGTCCATCAGTCTCTCGCTGATTCCGTTATCTCTATTCCATCTAGTTCTAGTTTGGTCCATAATACCCACACATGCATTACACACTATACACCCCACGGTTTAGTTCCACAGTCACGTGCATATGCTATGACGCGACCTAAAGCATGTGCCATG